TATGGGATGAAATCGGATAAGGATGAACGGGTTTAAGAGTTTTAAGAGTTTAAGAGTTTTTAAGAGTTTTAGTCAAATGCTTTATAATATAGTATAGATATATTATGTTTCTTTTAACACGAATATGGTTTTAAAAAAAGAAATATATTAAAATAATCATTTTTCAAGATTAGTTTCATTTTCTAATCAATTTTTTTAAGTTTACCAAAATAGTCATAAGCCTATAAAAACCCATGTTTGTAATTGTAAACCCAAATAAACGACAAATTTTTTTCAATCATATCCATAAAAGAATTTAAAATTACGAATTTAAGACTTTTGATAAATCTTATGAAAAATAATTAAGAGATAAAATCATTATTTTATGAATTTTTATTTTAAAAATATAAGCAAGATTGGATCTTGATTTTTAATTTGTTTTTTATAGTGGGCATGTGGTCTGTCAGGTCGGTGGAATGGAACTCGTTTCCTATGATTTATATTTTTAAATTAAATTACTCTGATTCACGTTGATTGGATTAAAATTTTAAAATCAGGAGAAAAATTTAAGAACCCAAAAAATTCATTTTTTAAATGAATAAATTTAAAATTTAAAAATATAATTAAAAAAAAAGCTAACAAATTAAGAAGTTTTTAAAGTAAAAAAAAAAGTTAGAATCAATTTTATGATTTCTATATTCCATGCTCGCACCCAACAACTTTCCACCCACTCGATACTCTTTCTCGTCTATTATTGTCGTTGGTTTTTTATCATCAATCTTCCTTTTTTTTATCTGTTTTTTTCCTTTCGATTATTTCTATTTTACAACAATTTTATGGAGTATATATAAACATCTAGACATATAAAAAAAAACGAGAATCGAAAAAAAAAGCGATCAAACATAATGGAATGGGGTTTGAATGGCGTTGGGTGTTGGGGGTTTAATGGGCTAGAGTTTGGTAACGGTAAAATTGATTTAAGTTTTATTTTACCATAGAACCTTCTAAGTCGGTTACATGTAGCTTTTTGGGTTAAAAAATATGTAATTAACCATTTTTTTTTTAAATTAGATGGTTTACTTATTAAAAAAAATGTTTAGGAACTTAAACGTTCAAAATGAGAAAGTCTAATGCTTTATTCATTCAAAATAAAGTTCAGAGACTTAAGGGCCATTTACCAACTCTTACCATGTAAGAGTGCTGACCCGAGTAAGAGTGTTTACCAAATGTTTTTGGTAAGTGTTTACCAACAATAAAAATTATAACTCTATTTGTAATTATATGTTGAATAATATGTAATTATTTTGTTATTAATAGTTTAATGGAAGGAAAAAAAACAAAAACAAAATGCATACTTTAAATTAATGCTTACCAATAAAAAAGATACCGTCTTTTACCCAAGTTGTGTACAACAAGCGAAAGAACAAAAAAAGGAAATTTGACAGATTTGCGAGGTTGTGGCGTTTCGACCCTATCTCACTCATCCGAGCTTTGTTTAAGGCGATTCAAGACGTTTTGGAAAGCCAATAGACGGGCTTACAACTTTCATGCTTTTGAGTTTTCGCAAATACAAACCGCATCTAAGTCGAAATTGGCAATCAATGTCGAGAGAAGGGTGCTGGACAACAGGTAATCAAAAGAAAAAGAATACAACGAAAAGGTTCTTAAACTTAGGATTAGACCGTTCTCAACAAATAAGATTAAAGAGGTAGTTAGCATTTGGCATTCGACTAAATCAATGGGATCCGAGTCTACCTTGACCATTACACGCACTCAAACTAACAAAGCTCTATCTTATGAAAATAGGCATGGACCCATAGCACCCAACAGACATAACCAATGACCTCTCGTTCAGTCAACTTTGGACCTTATTGTGTTTTTAACTTTAAACCTTCCCAGCTAGCTAGCTAGAATACATGATAACAACAATTAGCAACAGTAATTGGTACATCACTTTCCTTCCAAAACAAATTCGATATCATCATTCTCAACAAGTCACATTCATTCTATCTCATCCCGACTTCTCTTGATCAAAACCAACCGGTAACCATGGTTTGGTGGAACCTGTTTCTACCCTTTTAGAGGTATGAAGTAGAAACATCTAGGCAGTCATTCAAAAAGGGAATTCACCGAATGCAATCAAATTTGTACATGTTGTAATTTGTAAGATTACATCATAGACATACCTTCTACTCAATCAAATTCCCTTATTCACTGTGCTAGAGAGATGAGACGGGAGGAGGGAGGAGGAGCGACGATTGAGGAGAGGAGGCGGGAAGCGATAGATGAAAAACCTAATCGTGGGAATTGGGAAGGGCACACTCTGAGAACATGGAAACAGACCGGATAAGTATCGTTTTGAAGCTAACCCGGTAAGTTTTAGGTCAGCATTGTGGTCAGGTTTTGATTTTGGTAAACATGCTGACTGCTGACCGACTCAGTATTGCTAACCGAGTCCGCAACTAATAAACAACCCCTTAACCGAGTATGGACTTTTCCCTAAAATTAAAAGGTTGATAGAGGTTATATTATCTATCTTATTGTCTATTTGCACACCTATTCCGTACACAAGCCAGAAATCTTTAAAGAAACAGCCTCTGGATCCTAACGTTTGAGGTAAGATGTATACACATCCTACCTCCTCTTAAACCTTATTTTTGAGTTAAGTATGGTAAGGTACGGTTTGGTTTAACAGTAACAGTAACTGCATCATCGAAAAAGAACAAAAACCAAAATGAAGGAATACATTTTTCATTGAAAAGATTAGAGGCTTTAAATGTCAATCCCCATTCCTTTCAAAGAGTTATAAAATAAGACCCTCAAACAAGCCCTTAATGTAAACAAAAATGATAGTTTCTCAAGTCTCATCTCTCTATCCAACTAATAAGATGAAGACAAATCATATTTTTATATATTTTAGATTTATTTTATTCCGCTTCACATTCTCTTTGATGATGATGATGTGTATCTATCTGATTGGTGGACATGAATGAGAGGTGGAAACCTGGGACTGGTGATTTTTATTAAGCCAACAAAAAATGGAAGTTCTTAAAAGATTCAAATGGTGAGGTTTTCTTGAATGGCCACAAAAGTTCCCACAATGTTGCCACCCAAGTCTGGGAAATTCGGACAACCGGGTAGCGGCTTGACCTGGCCGGTGCGATCCACTTCCACCGGATACCTGAGAAGGTGAGCATTCATATCGCTCACTTCAACCGCTGCATACTGTTTCCAGTTCAATTCGCTCAGCAAGCGCACCCTTCTCACACACTCGAGACTCTCTGGTCTCTCGAAACAGCTCTCGAGTCCACCAATGTGTTCAGCCCAAAGCGACATCCTGTACCCGAATATCTGCACAACCCCATTTCACAAGTTGGATATCAAAGCTACCACCTTTTTTGTTCCATTAGCATAAAAATCAAGAAATCTTGAAATGTTAATTTTACCTGTCCATGTGGGCTATCGCGCTTATGAGCCCATGTATGATATGGCTGATATGCACCCATTGCGATTTCAGTGTCTCTGGACCCTTCTAACGAACGTTGGTTGATGTTTGCAGATCCCAATATCACAAACTCATCGTCCACTATCATTCCTTTCGAGTGTACGTATATCATAAAGCGTTGATTTTTCCTACTAAGTGACTGAATTCATCAAGGAAATTAAAAAGAATGTGTTAAGACATATATAAGAAAATAGTGACATCAAGATTAGGACTTGTTTCAAGAAATGTACTTGAGGGGTATTTGCAGCATTCGACCCTTTTTCATCCGAAGTTGGTTCCGTGCCTTTGGATGACTCACGAGTGCCAAGACAGAAAAAGATCAAGTAATCTTGAGGCTCGTACACATTTTCGAGACCTACTTCTACTAAGGCCTTGTAAATCACTTCATACATCATTTGCATCGTTTTATTCTGTTCGAATTGTCGTACATACCAGCCAGTAATGAGCATCTTGTTTATATTTACTCACATAGCTTATATATAAATATATACATATCACACATATATAAAGGAAGGTTCAGGCCACCCCCCCCCCCAAAAAAAAAAAATTGATGGTATGTTTTTTTTTAAAACAAGTAATTGAAGTTGTATACATACACACACACACATGGTCAGATTCGGGAGAAAATCGCAAAGAAAATGAAAATCTGAGGAAGACCATAGTAACCATTCATTTGTATGGTATGCACATGTGCATGCAATTAATTTGTAAGTAATTTTTCCGGTATGCACATGTCATAACATGCACACGTACATAGCAACCGAGAAACATCTTCAATTACTTGTATGCATATGTGCACACTATACAAATGAACGGTTATTAAAGTGTTCCCCCGAACCTCACTCTACACACACACACATATATATATATATATATAATCTACCTGCCAAAAGAGAATCCTTTGAACTGCGGTGCTTGTAGGACTACCCTCCGGCCACATTGGAATCACAATATATGCAGCAAACCTCTCTTTCGCTCTGATTTTGTTCGCAATTTTTAGAGCAATTTCCATCGGTATTAAATTGTTTGCACCTATTAAAACACCCATGTACTGTTACTTAAAAAAATATGGAATTAATAGTTACAGTAAAAGAATCGGAGAACAAGTGAACCATAATTGGCACTTCAAACATCCTTCTAAGTATATCTAAGAAACAGTATACAAGTTTAGCTTAACGGTTAAGTTTTCTTACCCAAAGTTTTGTAATTACTCCAGTTAAACGAAGAACCAAGAAAGTACTGGTTTTCAATATATATGAAATGCTGCGCAGCACGAATTGCCTTCACATATGCGGTATGTATGCTCATGTCTATAAGCACATTCTTCCCACATACCAAATTCTGTTGTAGTGTAGCAAAATATTAGCTACTGGTTCCCGACATAAATAAAAGAAAACCCAAAATAAAAATGTAATGCCCAAAACAGTAGATTATCCCAATAACATCCAAATCTAACTTAAAACCATGGTGTAAGTTATTGGTAGCCCACATGTAAGATCCCACAATGGAAACAAAGCGGACAATTTTCTGTCCATGTAGGTTGTGTTGCTAGCGGTAAAATTGTCATACCTTGCTTGTGGCATCTTTGGGGTCTTTGGGAAAACCTTTAACGGAGTTGGAGTCAATTGAACGGAACACCTACACATAGTTGAAGCATTGAAAAGGAAAATAAATATATTAAAGTTCGAAAAGAAAACAAAAAGAAGGCATACTGAGCTTTAAAGATAGCTGAAGAACAAATATACCTGAACATGCCAACCCTCTGGATCTTGCTCACTTGTGCAATGGGCATCATCTATTCCTAAAATGTCAGGAATCCTATCTAGCTTGAGTAAAGAGTCATCCGAAGATTTCTTGATTTTACGAATCCCATGTGGCTTTGAAGCTCTCAACCATCTCTCCTCGAAGTTTTTGAGTAAGTCATATGCTGCTGGACCTTCGATTCGACTGTGCAAATCATGCCATGGTTCTCTTGGACAACCATCTGTAGGTCCCTATTTAAGCAAGAAAATGACTTTAAGCTTATTTCAGCACAACCCTTTTCTTTTCACATCAAATCTCCTTGTATGAACACTGTAATTTAAGTTCAAGACCAATAGGAAATCAGTGAAATGCTTACAGTGAAATTAGGTTGGTGATAATCATCTTTGTGCACAGTTTGTAATGTGCTGAAAATGCGGTGTCTAGGAGTATCATAACGTCCCACACATAGATCAAGACCTCCAACAAATGCCATTATTCGTCTTCTGTAATTACCAGCATCAGCGTCCACTATAACCGTTTTCTGATGATGGGTATAGATTGTTTCAACCTCCTGCAACCCAAATTAAGTTGCCCATTAAGACACAAATAATGGAAGATGATAAAGACCAGCTCAACAAAGGTGACACTGCAGTTACTATGGCAATAGGTACCATCATGTGATCAATTAATTTCGGATGGAGGGTGACCACTTTAGATATGCATTTGACTACATTTACCTGCTAAAAATGGGTATATATAATTAAGGGCTGTTTGGTTGGTTTTCCATTAAGTCCTGTATGGATAAAACTGTCCATGTGGATTATTTGTTTGTATAGATTGGGAAGGTTTTTGCTTGGGAGAGTTTTTTCATGGATGGATAGATCATGTTTTTTAATTGGGAGAGACAAGATTGGAAAAAAAAACTTGGCTTTCTGCATAAAACTGCCTGCTAGAAGCTTACTGAATAAGTCACTTTCTATATCATTAAGCCACTACCAAACAGTCATGTATAGCTGACCAAATAAGCTATGAGTCTCATTAAAGTCATTAAGCTGCTAACAGACAGGCCCTTAGTCATATCTAAAGAGAATTCTATAGTGACCTAAAATCTTGTTGAACTAATTATAAACATGTCAATTTGAGTAGGATCAATTAGCAAAAGTATCTACAACTACACAAATTACATTTGATCCCTGATCCTCATGTCAATCTTCCAATCCAATAGATCAACAATCAATTGTATATATATGTTTACTTAAAACTCCTTGATGTTCCTCTATACTAGACAGTTTTAAAACGTATAGATACAGAAACAATAATTATATAAATTGATAGCATCCAACCTGTTTCTTGGCCCAGCTATGCCCCTTTCCAGCAGAACGGGGGCAAAGGAGTACTTGCACAGAAGAATGCTTGAAAAAACGCCGAGTTTCTTCATCATGAGTTTGCATGACCCCTTGCTGAAAAAAGATGCAACTTATAGATAGAATGCAATTGGATCTAATATAAGAAAATAAGCAAAACGTGATACTAAAAGGGTCTCACAGTCTTTATTCCCAAAATGCTCCTAGAAGTAGGATCATCCCATATGAGTAGAAGCACTCTTACACCTTCTGAAGACTTGGTCTTCAAAAGATCCCCCAAAAAGCTATCTTTTGCACCATCACCATTACGAACAAGCTGAACGCTATGAAACACAGACCATCCTGTAATGTAAATCAAGCGACGAGCCTGCTTGATAGCTTCACAAATATCATGCCAACAATCTCCATTTTCATATTTCAAACCACCATCAAGCCACATATTGGGAAGACAACCATCATCAACATGAGCATCTTGATAAAGGGTAACTTTACCTCCTCTCCTAAGTGGAAAATAAGTACCAGAAACACCATTACAATCTGGATCTGATCCCACTCCATTTTGGCTAAGGGGAACTCTCTCCATGGGTGTGTACTGAATCCATAAAGTCAATACTGCTCCAGGTCTACAGGGCTTGCCACTTTCATTCAGAATTGGGAAGGTACCTTCAACTATTGAACCAGAAACTAACTGCTCAACTGGTATACCAACAGCCCCTATGAGTTGGGAACCCACAACATCACTATCTTTAACCACAAACTGCACTTCAGCAGAATAGTGAGCCACAGGAACATAAAAATGTTGCAGCCAAACAGGGTTTTCACTATTGCTAATGACAAAAGTTCTTGCAATTACAGCATTAGCTATTGAAACAGTCACATAGGGGTCACTGGTAACCTTTACTGGCTTACCATCATCTGTTTTGTTCTTGCCACTGAATGTAGGCATCCTCCCAAACACTTGCCCTAACTTGTTGTGAAACATATCCATATTAGGCAGGTTTTTTGCTTCTTTGACCCATATATCCAAATTACCATGAAGTAATAGAACTTTGAGAGATGCATTAGAGGTCTTGAATGGAATAACCTCTACACTCTGTCCATGCTGTGATCCTCCATAACCTATTTCAGCCATCTTATAAAGAAGATGAAATTTCAATTAGATGGTTGAAGAAAGAAAGATTTAGGAGATCAAAGAACACCGATGGATGCCCAACTTCACAAGATTGTCCAAGATCAAGTTTTTCAGAGGCAAACAATCAAACAGATGGTAGGTCAATCTATATCTGACAAAAGGGCAAGATGAAAAGGAAAACCAACTGGTACCCAAATGAGAAAATCGAGGTAAAGAGAGGTGTAATGGATGGATGAATTAAAAGAAAGGGTTGTTGAGGGTCTGCAGTGCTGATAAACCCAAAGAGATTTGAATGGGTAAAAGAAAGGGAGCTTGGAAAATGTAGTAGAAGATGAATCACGACATTTGGTGAAGAAAGAAATTTGTGATTCCATGAATTTATAATAGAAGAAGGGGTGCTAAAAGTGTTGACGTCTAGACCAAGTCTGCCGAACTAGAAATTCTCAAAAAGCAGGCTGCTGAAACAATGGTAAAACTAAGAAACAAAAGCAGTGTAAATGCCGCTATTCAAACTAACCAAAATGTAATCTTTCTTCTTGTCCCAGGAATCCAAATTCGGGGGTAAAAAAGAATCTAGAGTAAACTACCATTTTAGTCCCTCAGGTTTCATGCTTATAACAGTTTTTGTTTCTAGTATTTAAAAACTGCATATTTGGTCTTTTTGGTATACAAAGTGTTAAAAAAATTATCCTTAAATTTCATTTATTACATGGAATAAATTATATATAAATTTGGTCGTTAAGATTTTTATTAAACAAATTTGATTAATTAATAAAATATAAAATATAAAATATAAATGAAATATGGAATAATGGGAGTAAGTGCATTTAATTTAAAGACAACCGTTGGTATAAAATAAAACTATTTTTTCTCTTGAATTATATTAAATTTTTTCAGATGATAATTTAAAATAAATAAAAAAAATATTAATTTTAGGAGATTTCAAAACTTTGAAAAAAATAAGATGCTATTTACTTATCTATAATTTTAATTAAAGTATTAAATTTGTTTAAAGATTTCAATTATTACAATATTATCATACTATTATACATAACATCATATTAATATAAAAAAATTATATCATACTAAATTTTTCTCTATACGTTATATAAAATGTAGTTTTTTTTTCCCATTTTAAACCAACTGGTTTTTAGAACGAATTTAATAAGAAATTAAAATAAACTAGTTGATTTTTAAAATAAATAAATAAAAACTTTGATAAAACAATAATTTATCAATTAAAGTGTCAAGATATTTATTAGTCTATTAATTATACTTTATGTTTTCGAAATTCTTATAGCTTTAATAATAAAAAAATAATTAATTCAATGAAAAGACCGTAAAGGTAAAAAGAGGCCGAACCTTCACAGCAAAACACTGCGAAGGTTACCTTCATAACAAAAACACTGTGAAAGTTACCTTCATAGGTTTTGCAGTGAAGTTTCAAAGTGGAAAAAAGTTGTCTTACGTGAACCCAAACAACACACTTCTCATTTGATTGGGTTCATATATATATATATATATATATATATATATGTGTGTGTGTGTGTTTAGTATTGAAATATAGTAAAGAAAGAAAAAGTAAAAAGAGTAAACTATATATATAAGTGTTAGTGTCGACAAACTAGAACAACCAAATTTAAAGTTTACTAATGTAATAAATGAAATTTAAGGATAAATTTTTAAAACTTTTTTGTATACGACAAGGACCAAATATGTAATTTACTAAAAATCACTTCTTGGATTTGTCTAACTCTAATTCTTAACGGCTTTAATGCAGGGACAAAAATAGAAGTAAAATGAAAACTACGAAGACGAAAAACAGTTTTTAAGGAGCAAGAATGAAAAACCTTATAAACATCAAACCATAGGAAAGAAAATCGTAGTTTACTCAATAATCTATCACTTCGATTGCTAAAATTTTGGTTTTCATCCTTCCTATTCTTAGATAATCTTCCGGACATTAAAAGCATAAAAATAGAAGTGTTTTGATTTTTAACTCAATACTAAAACACTTAAAGAAAATAAAAGTAAAAAATATTGGTCTCCATATTTAGAGATTGGTAAGTAGGCTATAAATCAAATATTAATATTTTATTCAACTTTTATATTTTTATGTATATAGATTAATAGTTTAATATATTAAGTAATAAATACATATATTATTTTATTATTATTTTAATGTGGGGCTGGAATTGAGTTTTTTAGTGTTTGAAGAGACCAATTATTTTTAGTGGTTGGATTGAAGATGTCCTTCATTGTTTTTTTTTTCCTTTTCTAACGCGGTTATTTACCAAACACTTACCCGGTAAGCGTTTACCGATAAAATTTAATACTACCACTGACATAGTGGGTAAAACTTTAGTCCACAAAAATGGTATCGTATGTAACAATTTACCCAGTAAGCAATTACTATGGTAAAAGCCGTTGCTTTGACTTACCGAGTAAGACTTTTGGTCCGGATAAGACTTTTGGTCCTTGTCTTATCCCACTCTTACCAGGTAAAATTCTTGATACTTACCATATAAACAAAATGCTGAGCAACACGAATCGCCTTCACATATGCAGTATGTATACTCATGTCAATGAGCACGTTTTTCCCACATATTAGATTCTGTTACATGGTAACGAGAATATGAACAACTGGTTTCCGAGACATATGCATGAAACCTGAAGTCAAGAACTATCGTACCTTGCTTTTAGCATCTTTTAGGTCTTTCGGGTAGCCTTTAACAGAGTTGGAATCAATTGAACGAAAAATCTACACACAGAAGATGGGTAAGAAAGATGATGTGTAGCCTGGACATCAAAAAAGTTGGAATCAATTGAACGGTTTTATTGACTCGAGATACCTGGACATGCCAACTCTCTGGATCTTTCGCGCTTGTGTAAAGAGCATCGGTGCTGCCTAAAATGTCTGGAATTTTATCGAGTTTAAGTAACACGTCAGAAAATTTGGTCATTTTTGAAAGGCCACAGGGCTTTGAAGTTGAAGCCCTCAACCATCGCTCCTCGAAATTTTGGAGTACATCATATGTGCTGGACCTTCAATTCGGCATTGCAAATCATGCCATGGTTCTCTTGGACAATCGGCTGTAGGCCCCTGGTAATGATAAGACATTGATCACATTTCAAGAAGGTACAAAACAAATAACCTTCTTTTTCCCCTTGAGGCTAAATCTTCAAATAATAGAATGCTTACTGTATAGTTAGGATTGCGATAATCATCTTTGTGCAGCGTCTTTGATGTGCTAAAGAGAGAATGTTCCGGAGTATCATAACAACCGACACATAGGTCAAGACCTCCAACAAATGCCTTAATCCTTCTTTTGATACCAGCATCAGCGTCCACTATTAACAGTTTTCTGATTATGGGTATAGATGGTTTCAGCATCCGGTAAACGAAATACCAAATTCAGCCACCCACCAAAGATCTTAATCTGGAAAGGCATCTTGATCAAGGCCCTCATAGGGGATGTTTGGTTGATGTTCCATTAAGTCTTGTATGGATAAAGTTGTCTGTGTGGATTAATATGACCGTATAGATAGAAGAAGTTTTTGTTTGTGATGATTTTTTCATAGATGGAATGAGAGTTTTTCTAATTGGGAGGGGCATCTTTCAGAAAAACTTGGCTTTCTGCATAAAAATTCTCCTAAAAACTTACTGAATAAGGAACTTTCTCTATCATTAAGCCGCTTCCAAACGTTCATGTATTGCTGAACGAATAAGCTACATGTCCTCAAAAAGCTCATTAAGCTGCTAATGAACAGGCCCTAGTTAAATACCCAAAAAGATTTCAGGGGAACAAAGATTTCATCAAAGAGATTAATTGAATCCAACCTTCTTGCCCCAGCTACTCTTTGCTATTGAACTACGACGCAATAATACTTGCACGGATGAATTCTTGAAAAAGACCCGAGTTTCTTCATCATGAGTTTGCATAACTCCCGGGTAGTATGATGTGCCACTGGAACGCAGAAACGCTGCATCCAAACAGGATTCTCACTGTTGTTTAACACAAAAGTTCTTCCAATTACAGCATTAGCTACAGATATTGTCACATAAGGATCACTT